TCTTTCTTTCTTTCTTTCTTTCTTTCTTTCTCTCTTTCTTTCTTTCTTTCTTTCTTTTAATGCGGTGTGCTTTTAAAACATCTATCCTTTTTTCTCCATCTTCTTTGAAAGCGTTAAACTTAATTTGGGTTCAAAATCAAACATATCAATAACACCTACAAAACCCATAATATCAAAATCCTACAATTTAATCCTTCAAACTTTAATCCTTAACTCAAACCCTTGAGAAGATTTCTACTTTCAATCTCTGTTCACATAATCAATGATATTTATCTTCCAGTAACACCACGATTACAGAATCTGACGTCCACACTTTCACGGCCAATATATTAACTTCTGTGTACAAAAGCTATCCCTTAAAAACGTACCGCTATCTAGAAAAAAATCATAAGGAAAGGAAGAGGCGAAAAGATTGAGATAGCAAAAGTTTCTCATAATAAAAAAAGGGAAAAACACTGCTTTCAGCAAAATAGAGTCAAAGGAATGTATTCTGTTAAAATTGTGTTTTGATCAAAAAATATAGCTTTTTTAGTGGTGTATCTTTACTACAAAATTATTTTCATAGAGTGCAAACCTTAAATCCGTGAAATAGTACAAAAACTAAATAGCACTAAACACATCTATATTTTTTTGCTTTTAATAGTCCCCTTCACAGTTCCCGGCGCCATCTTGAATGATAGCCATACCTTTGCATCGAAGCGAGGCGATCGGTGAGCTTGCAATGATAGAGACGTGGAAATAATTGTCAAAGGTGTTTAAAAAGGCCTCTATCATTGTAATCTCTCCGTTTGTCTCGCTTCGATGCAAAGGCACAGCAACCTTTCAAGATGGCGCAGGATTGACTACCTTTTTATATTGTTTCATGCATTGCTGCTATTTTGTTCTAATTAGTTATTAATATTTCACTGATATATGGTTTGCACTCATACGTACTATGTACTTATTGACTGAGTGGGAGGGCCGGACGGAGTGAAGCAGCGAGCGCAGCGAGGTCCGTGCAAATGACCGAGAGCCAAATATTTTCCCGTACGGCCCGACCTAACTCAGTCAATAAGCATTTTATCATATGACCCTCACGATAAGAAAAATAATAAAATAAAAGAAAGAAAATACGGTCGCAGTTTTCGAGCAGGGCCGTACGGATTTGTACGGCCCCACTCACGCCATTTTCCCGAAGGTTTTTTTAAGAGCGCGCGCCCGGGCAGATACGGGTCATATGATAACATGCATTATTCGGTTCGCAGTTGAAGTCGCTCGATAGTTGCTTTTGTAGAAATTTTCAGTTATGTTAAATTGGTATACTCTAAAATGCAAAAGAAACAAAGAAAAAATAATAAAAGCAAACTGAATAAGTTATATAAATAAAGCAAAGCAAATAAAGGAAAATGTAAAGAAAAAAAGAGAGACAAAAAATAAATAAATAAAATAAAGAGAGAGGACCTTCAATAGGAACACAAAGAATAAAGAAACATGGATTGGTAGTCCAAAGGAAAAGCAAGATAGGGAAAAGAGAAGGAAAATAAGGAAAAAAGGAGGTCAAAAAATACAATGGAATACAATTAAAAACAACAACAACAACAAAGCAAACTAAAAAGAAGGCTAAATATATTGATTTGATGCCAAAAATAAATAAATAAATAAATAAATAATAAAAAAGAAAGATAAATATTTTAAGTTGATGCCAAAAAAATAAATGAATAAATAAATAATAAAATTTATAAAATCAACCACATCAATTTAGTTAAATTCATTTTCAATAAATAATCGAGATAAGCTCGCCAGTCGAATCACATTAATTTTCTTTTCTGCTCACCACATGCAAAGATTCACGGCTGACGTCTTTCTCGATGAGCTACAATTATTCACACTTTAAAATGACGATGTACCATTTTCTATGAATAAGATATATTCCTCCCCACACTCCAATGTTTTTGCTTGCGCTTCCAAGACTATGTCAGACCACAACATTGTAGAGCATATATTTTGGTATTTATTTTGTAAGAAAATTAATTTGTAACATAATCATAGTCGTTTCAAAAATTTTGGCAACGATGGTTTCTCTGCATTGATAAAGAAACTAAATATCATAATTATTTTATGAAAATAATCCTGATCGGAATGGTTGCAAGTTGCTCAAGCCTTAAATTTTGCTTAGAATATTCATATATTCCAGTGCGTGAAAGTCTGCATGGGGAATTTCAAAGTGTAATTTGTGGTTTGTGAATGTTATTTCTTTTCTATACCGTTGATATCATAAATAGTATTACATTGAAATGGGTCTAACCCTGAGTAAATGAGTTTGTAATCATATCGTTTAAAGGACCTCCAAGTTTTTTCTTTTTTATTGAAAATGGTCTGGTTTTTTTTTTAATCTTGGGCAGGCAGTCTTACTACACATTTTCTTTCTATAAAAAAGTCTTAATTTATTCGCATTGGTTGGCCATACAAATGTCCGAACAAAAGCATGATTTATCTCATTAGAATAAGCTGCAAATTATTGATATCACACCACTATCCATCACCAAGACATGACTGTTGTCATTCATATTTGTATTTGATTAACAATCCAGAAATATTAATAAGAAAAACTTGATTATTTTGCTTTCAAAGTTTTACCTGGTCACAAACCGCGAATCTCCAAAATATTATTACTGCCTTGCGTATTTTCATGCACGTGCTTTCAAGTATGCGAATGCACTACAAAATTGGTTTTAATGCTAGACAAGATAGAAATAAGATGGGTAAACTTTTCCATTGAAAATCCAAAAATGTTTTCCTTTTTTTTTTTTTAATATAGATTTTTTTACGAACTTAAAAATTGAACGAAATAACATTCTTATTATGGAATGCATGTCCCTTAAGCATTCTGATTGGGTGAGATTTTTCTCGCTTTTTGATTGGATCATAATATAATGAAAGCCATTTACCAGCCCTCGTACGCCATATTTCGTAAAAATACAAAATCAATGCAAAATTTGTAAGAAAAAATATTTGCTTTTAAAAAGATTCTTAATTCTTCAGCCGATAATATCAAGCAAAACTAATTAGCATTCCTTTACCATTTGCTCTTATTAATTATCAATTTCCACTGTCTATTTTCCATACATCTGCTTTGAAAAACAATAAAGTTTTTTTGTCTAAAACAATAAAAGAAGTACAAAACACGAACCCTTGTTTTTCTCAGCTACAAACAAGTTTATTTATTTAATATTATCTCAGTCTATGAGTCCTGCAAGAATACTCAAAAGGGAATAGTTTTTTTTTTCTCGCGAACGTGTTGTTTCTGTTGAAAAAAAAAACCGCGTTTGAAAAGATGTAGAGCGATAATACTTATAAATGAATTTTTATAATTTCACTTCGACATTTGTATGGACAACAATGTGACCACATTATAACCATTGATACAACAGTTGTTACGTTTTTCATCAACGCTCTTCGATGATTTCAAGCAAGAATAATGCTAAACTTCAAACTGCCTGAAATTATTTCTTTCTTTCTTTTCATTTTAATGTTGTTGGTTGATAATACACTCGCTCGTGGTGGACGCAAAGGCGGGGGGAAATCATCGCGACCACGAGCTCGTATGAAGAAGAAACTATGCTGTGGAGGATTGGCAGGTATCGATAGTTCTCGAAAGAATCTACCCGACTGGATGATCGCCATTTTGATATTTCTCGGAGTGATTGCTCTGTATATGATGTACGCTCTAACGAGGTGGATTTATGTGAAAAGACTTCAAGGAACACTGTTCAGATACCGAAAAGAGATCGATCGAAGCGAAACTAGTGATGTTGTTTCACATGTATGAATTCCAACCTGGGAAAGCACTGCACAATCTCCATTACTTTATTCTCTCTCTTGCTGTCAGACAACTTTATATCATGGGGAAAGAGCGATATTTCTTTTTATGAATCTTATATATCAGTGAATCAGCAAGAGAGTGATCAAATATGAGGTAAGACCAAGCCAGCGAACAATTAATGAATCATCAACAGAAAAATATGAAGCCAAAAAATGCTAGAATTTATAGAAATTTGTTCGGAGTCAGTTAACATCATGTGCTACTATAATAACTAAAGCTTGGAAGAATGGGAAATGCTTTAAAAGGAAATGTAACTTCACAGTGGATACATCTGATGGCATAATCCATGTATAAGGTTTTTGTTTTGGAAGCGCCATACGTCGTCGTCCTTCACAGCTGATTACGCCAGCCAACAACTTAAAGGGTGTGTCTTCACTAATTTAATTCGGACCAATATTTCAACCATGAATTTCATTTTCAAGAGAATGACACGTGGCCTGAAATATGAAAACTACACGCCCAGCTAAATTTTTTTCTGAACCGATAGGACTTTTTGTTCACAGAGAAAATAATAGAACCTTTGTTGAATGTTCGGCACGTCATGTGATAACCAAGCTCATCCAATCAAAATGCTTGAGCACCTCACGTGATAGCTCTGATTATCTAATAATGATGACTAGGTCACGTGATTCCTAACCATCCAATTAGAATGATGGGGTACACTGCCTCATTTTCTATAATTACCTACATTATCGAACGCCATTGATTCTAAATTTGTTTTGAAATTTTGAAAATAGGATATTTTTTTGTAGATAGAAGGGAAGAAAAATGAATAAATATATAATTTAATGAGTTCTATTACATGATTATTGTTTAATATCATGGTTCTCAAATAAATACGAAAAAGATAGATGTATTCCAAGAATGCTTTCATTTGCACATGCGCATAATTTACAAAGCGTTCCGTCGACATCACTGATGAACTGCTTAATTCAACCAAGGTAGTTTTGACTTGAGCTGATCATGCTCGAAAAGATTCATTGGCTTATCCTTAAAAAGAATAAATATCCAGCGATTTATAAATGCAGATTAACTGATCAGACCGTTATCTTTGATAAATTTACTCGGCCGGCGGCAATCTAGCACCCAGAGCGTGGGGTGAAGAACGAGGTCTCTGGCATAATCCATTTTTTGGCGCATGCGCAATTTTCCTAAAGTAATAATAATAAACTTTAATAGTATTCTCCCAAGAGGGCTTTTCAATAACTATTTACAAAACTAGAATTATATAACTAGCAATATCTTAATAATAAAAACGTTAAATGCAACAAAAAAAAAAGAAAAAAAAAAAGAAAAAAAAAAGAACACATATGGACAAGAGAATATTAAGTAAGAGAGCACATCTCCCATACATGGGTCTGTAACCATGAAAGTTTTTTGAAAATCTATTTTTAGCTCTGAGCTCAAGGCTGAGCTTTTTTTAGCATGCGATTCCGATCCTGATTGCTCAGAGTTGTAGTAACTTCCATGCGAGCGAAAAATGTTTACTTCCGACGAGAAAAATGCCTTCAAAATCTGTAAAAATTTGAAATAATTAAAGTATCATGTGTTCTTCATAGACGAATTAAACATTAAACTTAACAATTGAGGATTTAAAAGAACATCAAAAAAGATCAAATCAGGATGATTTTCAGTATACGAACAAGCTGAAAACAGCGAAGACGCCATGGGGAAGGAAACCGCGATAAAAACAGCGATGAAAATAGCGAAAAACCTACAGTGAAGACAGCCAAAAAAGCATTTATCGTAGTGTTTTCTATAGTAAATAAAGTTTAAGTTAAAGCGATTAAGAAGACGATGAACAAGACCAGTATTTTGTTTCACACACGAATCAGAACAAACTTGCACCGAAATGTGCCGCAGAAAAATTTCTGTTTTCACAGAAGAAAAAAAACAAGAGGCACTGAAATGATTTTTCACAATTATTCAATATGTTTAGCTTGCCAAAATACGGTATGTCACTTTATGCTAAAACATTTCCCATTGAGAAAAGGTGAATTAATTTAAAAAATTGACTATTAAAACTAGAACTTGCTTTCATATTTTGCAGCATGTATTTTCCCTCCGCCTCAATGTTCAGGCATTTTTTTCATAATTTTTCAACTTCTAAAGTCCCCAACAGACAATAGAAATACAATCACAATATCGGCCAAGTACAAAAAGTGAATCAAAATTAGTATTTAGGATTCAAACTAATAAAAAAGAGATTATTTTTACCTGATTGAAGGGCATTTTACTTGCGATTTTTTCCGCCAGATGTTCTCAGTTCGGCGTATTTGTACCTTTATGTTTAATTCTTCTATTCCGAGCAGCTTGACTGTTTTCAGCTATCTTAAAACCTCTTCTTTTTACTGGTAAACAACTGATTCCAACAGTAAATGCTAAATTTTCTCTCAAGTTTAAAGTTTTTTAAACTCTTGACTCAGTGAATTCAACAAGTTTATTCATCGAAAATCCGGCTCTTTCGTAAACGAGTCCAATCTACCTTCATTTTAGATGTCCATTAGGTAACTTGTCATTTTGAAAACACTGAATTGAAGTTCAGGTCAAAAAAACGTGTTCTTGGGATACAGCAATATTAACTGTATTTCAGTTTAGGTGGAGAATTGTGGAATAACTTACAGTCTCATCTATAACTGCAATCAACTCCAAAATGAATCATGATTCTCAATCGAGCGACCATTGTTTTGATCTAAAAACAAGCTTGAATGATGTTGTCTCAGCTGAGTATTTTTTACATGTGCTGTTGGTGGATTCCTTCAAAAACCTTTCAGAATTTCTCAAGGAATTCCTCTAACACATTTTCTCGTCAAATTGAATAAAGTTTGTTTTGTCAGCTGCATGAAGCTTGCTTGTCACTGCCGATCTCTTGTACCCATGACATCACTACAATCTGACCAATCAGAAGTCGCATGCTAAAATAGCTCGGTCTTGCGCGCGGAGCTAAAAATAGTTTTTCAAAAAACTTTCATGGGGCACAGGGATGTGCTTTCTTACTTCATATTCTCTGGATATGGATTATTAATGTAAGTCTATTTATAAAGGTATAAAAAAAATTTTTAAATAAATTTTAAAAACTATTCATTTAATCAAGCCTTGCTTGAAGATGCACTTTCATCGCAGCTTTGAAGCTCTTTAGCGTAGTTTTGGTTCTGATATTAGCGTCTAAAGTGAAATATAGTCAGTGAAAATCATGCTTTAAAAGAGTTATGGGTTTACTTCCCATCAAAATAAAAATTAGAAATCGGGAATATATGTTTTCATTTTTGGCAAGGCTTTGAAACCATGCTCTTTTATACCGGAAGTCCAAGAAATCCTGTTCTCAAAAAATGGATTATTCCAGAGCCCTCGTTTTTCGCCGCAGGCCAGAAGAAACGCAGGCTCTTGGTACGAGATTGGGCCTGCGGAAATAACATACTAATTTATTTAGGGTATCCTTATTTCTGTGTCTAATTATTCCCAAATACCAACGTTAAATTTAAGAATGCACACCTTCACCAACGAAAGCACTTTGAAATTTTAAAATTCTATAGTAGCATTCATTGGCTGACGAGGAATCCACGTTTAATTTCACGAGAAAACCGATATGACACGAATCGCGAAGCGATAAATTCGATATAGCTTTTCGAGTGAAATTCTGTAGAATTCCCGAGTACGTCAGACAATGAATTTTTTTAATCCCGTAGCCAAAAGATTGAAAATAGACTTATGGATATGACCAAAGGCGCTTTACAAAGAGTTATTAAAGAGAGGTGGTTAGTGTGAGGTGTAGGCATTAAGGGTGTTCGTTGCTAGGGTTTCTTTACGTCCTCATTGGTTTTCCCCTCCGATATTGGTTAGTAATGATAAAGTGTGAAGAGATGGGAAAACTATTTAAAGTGGTCATCCGAGCCACTTGAAAGTATAACCAATTATAGATGTAAGTAATATATACAGTATGAGTGGCCGTGTTGTATCAGATATACAACCACGAGGCGTAGCCGAGTGATTGTAGTATCTGATACAACACGGCCACTCATACTGTATGTAGTGTTTAAAAAACGAGTAGGAGTGTTTTTTGAACTGCTTAAAACACTCATGAACAATTTATAAGATTTTGGTTCAACTGGAGCCACCATACACGTCACGAACATGGATTTTTATACTTCGATAGAGATTTGACGTCATGGGCATGCGCAACCAGATTCAATAGAAGCTCCCACACGTTGGATATTGCGTATCAAAGCAAAGACAGGCACGTTAGTCAAAGATTTTTAGGGTTGACTATGACCTTGATGAGGCTCTAAGTCTTCATCTAAACTTGGATGCATACTTCATCCCTGATGAAGTCATCCTCATAGCATTCAAGTGGTCTTTATATAAAGACACATGTGTGTTTATATAAAATCACTTGAATACTAATGAAGAGGACTTTATCGGGTATAAAGGTTCATG